TTTTCTTTCTCACTTTCTATAAGCATAGGCGGTCCATGTTACTAAACTCAATGTCAACACTTTTTGCTAGTAAAGAGTTGTATGAATGTCACCCATGATGGTTTCTTTCCAAACTTATAATGTTATGTTGGAGCCAACTAGGTTCTCAACTATATTTGTAAGCGATGTTGGTGTGAAATAATTCTCGTATTACGCTTCTCTTAGTCCAACTAAATCTATGTCCTTTAACTAGGTTAATGTACCATCACTCACTCTTGCTAGTTATAGTCCTTAGCCTGTCTAACTAGTCATCCTATAGTCCATGTATACATAAATTGATTTAACTTGGGTCCTCTTAGCAACCCGTCTAACTCGGCCCTTTACCACAACCTTGGTGTAAGTGGCATGTCTTTAGTCACATCGAACATCTATTGGTTTCTATTGCGGGGCTACTGCTTACTAATTTTACTACAATCAAGGTATATATAACAACCACATAATAATTTAGTAGCTTGGCTCTAAGCGCGTGAATACTAAGAGGAGAGTGAACAAAATAAGAAACCGACTCTCTAACCTGTCTAAATAGCTCTCCACATGTAATTGTGATGTGCTACACAACCATAAACAATACTTTACTAAGGTAGTGCTCCTTGACTCAACTCCTAGGACTCATGAAACTCAAGCTCTCATACCAAGTTTGCGGGTAATGACTGGCACCCGACAAAGCTCGTGTCCCAAGGAGCGAATCTTTAAGCTTGTTGTCCTGACTATGCATAAAGCATATATTGGGGTTCTAAACGAACCCTATCATGTGTCATTAAGTTAAGACAGAGAGAATTTTATTAATGAAGATAGAAGTGGGGCATAGCCCTTTAAAGGATTAATAACGAGAAAGAAATAAGCCGCCACCGAATAAATGTGGGGCTTTACTGAACCTGTAAGACACGAAGATAAATGGAGTCAGCATATACAATGCAATGAATCTCATAGACCCTCTTCTAAAAAAGTGGATCATTTTTTCCTTTAAATGAAGTTAGTATCAAAATTTGTACTTTAGCAAATTTAAAATTTTCATATATAATAGCAAAACTAAAGTCATAAACATATGAAAAAGCATTAAAAAAATGCTTTCAATATCCATTATTTTTCCCATCGGGCTTAAACAAAATGTTTCTTTATGCTAGCAAGACTTAAACTAACACTAGTGTAGGGCGTATCGTAAGTTGCTACTAATATGGTTCGACTTACATATCCAAAGTAGACTCATGTCAATTGTCGATGATTGGACGCAATAGTTGAGTAATGAAATTCTAGCATCAAGTCTCTAAGCTTTGATTTGAGGTCAATGGAGACCTAACCTTCCTTAAGTATTTCCTTTAAAAGCATGCCTTACAACTGTTCAAAAAATTGCAATGAGAGGATGCCCTAGATGGCTTGTATCAAAAGTTAGGGACATGAGAAAAAGATGTTTAAACTAGTATGACTGAGAGAAAAGATTTAAACCTGGTGAAGTGTATTAAAAACTATTCTCGTCAAGTGTTGATAGGAGATAGTGAGATCAAAAAGCGATAAAGAGTCTATTTGATTAATTGTTCAACTCGAACCACGATAATAACAATTAGGATTTTCATACATCTGTACACAATGAATATAAGCTATATATTATGGAGTTATGCTCGTAGAGGTAGAGGACGCCATGAAAATATAAAGATTAAGAAAGTTTGTGGTCCAGATGGTATTCCTATAGAGGTTTGGGAGTGTCTTTTGATAGGTCGGAGTAGAATGGTTTACAAAGTGGTATGACGCTCGACGAGTGGAGAAAGAGTACCCTGATCTCACTTTTATAAGATCAAGGGAGATATTCAAAGTTGTGCAAACTATTGTGGCATTTAACTTGTGAGTCAATACTATGAAATTTGGGAAAAGAGTGATGGAGCGTATACTTAGAGACACTACAAGAGTGACTAACATCAGTTTGGATTATGTCGGTAATGCTTGCTAAGAAAATTGATAGAAATTTATTACGAGAGAAAGAAAGATTTACAGATGAAGTTAATTGATATGGAGAAAACTTATAATAGAGTACCAACGAGAGTCCATTGGTTTGTGTTAGAGAAAAATTAAATTCATGTTAAATATTTGAATTTCATAAAAGGACATATATGAAGGAGCCTTTACTAGCGTTAAAATAGTAGTAGGAGCTTAAAAGAGTTTTCCATAATCGTAGGTTCAGACCGGAACCAACATTAAGCCTATACATGTTTGCCCTAATTATGGTTGAGCTAACCAACATACACAAGAGGATGTACCACAACGTGTGCTATTTGTTAATGATATTGTGCTAATTGACGAAACCAGCGAGTGTGTCAACCAAAAGCGTGAACTATGGGGAAACACTCTAGAGAATAAGGATTTTAAGATAAGTAGAAGTAATATTGAATTTATGCATTGCAAGTTTAGTTAGCATAAGAAAGTGGAGTTGAGGTCAGATGAGATGGGATTGTGGTGCCTAATGCAAACAATTCAAATATCAAGGTTGGTTATTCTAGTAGGATGGAATGATAGATGAGGATGATATACATACCATCAAAATTAGATGGTTGAAATGGATAAGTGGTTTCGGAGTGTTACGTGATAGGACGATACTTACCAAAGTTAAAGGTATTTTGTTAGGTTCTATTGAACATTTATATGTCCAACAATGAGATAGAAACACATCACTACCGAGGCCTTTCCGCCTCCCCTACTTCCTACCCCAAAACTATTAAAATCACTAATCTAAGAAAAAACTGAACAAAGTGAAATAAAAATAAATAAATTAAAGTGGCATTTGACATATGGAGGAGCGTGAAATGTAGCCCTCACAAGCTTGATTTTTTATTTTCAAGGAGGTATTAGTTCCACTCTAAACCATAATAGGGGGAAGGGATCGCCATTGAAGTTTAGGTGTAGCATTGAGTTTTTGGGATAAGTCTTAGGGGCGACTTATGTATTTTTTCAGAAGATTTATATAAGCGATACCAATTAGTTGAAAATATATTGTAGTCATGTTAATCTATTCACTTTAGGTTCTTTGCTTTCTATGAGTCTCTTATTCCTCTTTAAGATTCTACGACTTTATTTGAGCATGATATGTTCTACAGGCTTGTTAACATATACTTGAATTGCGAGCCCTATTTGAGATTCCTTCTAGTACTTTTCATTTTTATTTTTGTTTTGTAATGTTAGCATGGGATAAATTTAAATAGAAAATATGGTCAGTGATGACTGATATAGTCGACCCTAACTTATTTGGGATTGGGGCTTAGTTATTGTTACTGCTTGTTCCTTGATTGGGAAGCTAAGGTTAAAGAAACTAGTAGTATCCATGAAATTATCCATGATTCCAATGAATAAATTATATGAACCAATTGAAAAGTGGGAAATTATTGATTGATTTGAGTTACCCATGGCATGGTAAAACACAATTTGATGATATGAGGGTCAAAGATGAAACCAAAGAGGGTTGAGTATTGGGAATTTGTTATGGATGAGTCTATATAGGGATATAATGAACACTCTTTCTAAAAAACTTGACACTAGATTAATGCAATGTAGTTATAGATTGATTGAAGGAAATGTTCCTGATTGCCCATGAACGATATGCTTGAGCTACACACGCTTGTATTGTGAGTGAAAGAAATCTTGGTAGAAAGTTAAAGCTTGCACTTGTCAAAGATGGTATAAATTATTGTTGATCCTACGAGGATTGAGGTTTCTAATTAACTAATTAATGTTTCCTGAACACAACTTTAGAAATTAGATAACTTTATGAACGATCCTATAACTAAAGTGAATTGAAAAATGCCAAAGTTCTGGAGGCAGAATTGATGGTTGGAGATTCTAATAAGCAAAAAAAAGTTTGGATATGGATTTCGCCTTTGACTAACATATGATCTTCATTCCTCTTTAATCTATTCACTTTCTAAGTTATTTGGTGTTTCTTTAAATTATGCCAAACTATTATCACCTTTCGCGATTAACAAATAGTGTTTAAAGCACCTTAAGTGTTGGAGATGATTGATTAACCCACCTTAGGTCCCACGAATAGATATAAACCCTTTTAATTACCTAGATATGATTGCAAGTAGGTTCAAGACTAGCCTTTGCTCTCGTTCAGGATAAGAAAAAACAAATTATGATCAGTCAAGCATAGGTGAGAATGTGCCGAGGGTCTATCGAAACAACCTCTCTGCCCTTTTAGGGGTAGGGGTAAGGCTGCATACATCTTACCCTCCCCAGACCCCACTTGTGAGAAACTAACTATTGGTTTGTTGTTGTTAAGCATAGGTGAGAATGTGAAGGATTCAAACGACTTCTTTCAATTAGAATTTCGAAATTGCACTAAGAAAGATTAATCAAATCAACATTAGATGAAACAAAAGAAATTAATCCATAAAATAAAATCTTAGGATCCATCTAAATCCTACTACAAGAAAGCCACTCCATAGCGGAGTGTGATTCAGATAAAATAGTATTGAAGCCACAAAAATTTCATAGGTGCAAGAGAACGTAAAATGTGAGAAAAAAGAACTCCTAATCTTGAATTTTTTCCTTGAATCTGTGATTCTTTTGTTGGATCCTTGCTTCCTAGCAATGGCTGCCAATGTGTGTCAGAAGTTCCTCAAAGAAACCTCATTTTCATGATTTGATTTTTTTGGTTGCCTGTTGTTTACATGGTACACTATTGTAAGCTTCTCAAACCTACGTAGTTGATTGTGACACCGTATTTTACATAGCTTATGATTTTTATGACGGGGCTAAGATGATGCCTGTCTGTTACCGCATCGTTACCTTATATATGATGTATTCATGATATAATATATCACTGGTTATTGTTATAAGGAAAGGCATTTCTAATCTATTTTGTGAATACTATGTACTGGCGTGCTTCCTGACTTGTGTCCATATAACGTAGTTGTTGGTAAGCGTTATCTACTCATTAAGCTAGGTGACTCACTTTTTTTTCTATTGTTTTACAGAGACATCTATTGATGTAGACGAGGACCTACCTATCTAGAGCTTGCAAAGTTGATAGTACCGGAGAGCCCCTTGTTGGTTTGCGCAGGAGAAGAGGTCTTTATCATTTATTCATGTCCTTTCCTTGAACTCTTAGGATTGCTTTGTTAGTTTTCATGAGTACTTTGGTTATCGTAACACTTTTAGTGTCCGTTGAAATTTTTTTTTATTTAAATTTTCGTGATGGACCTAGTATTATTGTGTTATTAGTGGGAGGTTAGTAATTTTGGTGATTTTTTTGATGGGTGCTTGTTGTGTTGTGATTTTAGCGGAGACATGAAAGTTTTGATAGCCCTTCCCTGAACCCCATGTTGGTTAGCTGGAGCGAAGAGTTTTTGTCATTATTGTCGTCCGTTCTTTTAAACTCTTAGGATTGCTCCTTTTGTCAAGTTCATGAGTATTTTGGTTATCGTGAGACTTATAAGAACAACTTTCTACTCTTTTTTGGTGATGGAGTTAGTATGTTACAAAAGGGAAGTTAGTAGTGGTGGTGGACTTAGTCGTGTTGTATGATTCTAGCTGAGATAGGAAAATATGGACAGCCCTAGATATAAGAAAACTTTGTCCGATTTTCTTTAAAATCTTGGTAAACTTGCTAGGACCTATTCCTGAGCGCCGATCACATCTCTAAATTGGGTTGTGACGTTTTTACAGTTTGCAGGATTGAGATGCTCAAATAAATTAGGATTTCCAAATCATTGAAAGTAATGCTGCAAAGGTGGATGCAAGAGTATTGTTTCATATTTTACCTGATCAGTTTGTAGAATATCAAGTTTTGTTGATATGAACCTCATGAAGATGTTTGTGGATGCAGGGCACTAGTATTCACTCCAGAAGCTGCATTGCCCTTACTGCTTCACTGGGAAGTGTGTTTTTTCCTGCATTTTAGAAATAAACCTTAGGATGTTTCAGAAAATGAGATGTTTCATTTTGGAGGCATTTCCTCACTTGAAATGCACTGTCCTTGATCTTCCACATGTTGCTGCTGACATGCCAAAAAGTGAGAATTTAAGCTATGTAGGAGGGGCTATGTTTCAATCTATTCCACATGTTGCTGATGCCATTTTGCTTAAGGTATATACAAGAACTTTATTCTTTATATATCCTTATGTAGATGAGTTTAGCATTTATCACACCATCAAATCACTTAAAAGATCGGTCCGCAAAAGTGTGATTGGTAACTCGAAAAAAAAACAGGCTAAGTACGCTAATCGCATAAAAAGTTTTTGCACTGTGAGTTCATACAAGTTAAAGATTGTCAAATACAATTTGGGCAGCTTCTATTTAGGTTGGAAGAAATTTCTCCATTTTCTATACATTATCCGAGGCACATCCTTGTATACTAGCATAGATTATACATAAGCACAAATTTCTCACATGGATTCAACTTTCTATATCCTTTTTGTATTAGTTAAATTTACGGTCTGTTTGATCTAATTAACTATCTTCGAAGTTGGCAGAACATTTGTTCAAATTAATCAGAGTTCGATGCAATGTCACACTGTTATGTTTTGCAGCAAGTATTGCACAGTTGGAGAGATGAGGATTGTGTCAAGCTACTGAAGAAATGCAGAGAAGCTATTGCATTGACATGGTGTTAAGACACAAACGAAGATGAACCAGACATGACTGAAGTAAAGCTCATGTTTGACATGTTGATGGCAATGGTTTTCACCGCAAAAGAAAGAACGGAACAAGAACTATTCCTTGAAGCTGGCTTTACTCGTTACACCAATCTTTGGCCTTAGGTCACTTATTGAGGTGAGGAAATGCCTCCAAAATGGTCTTAGCTATAGTCAGTCCCAACTAATTTGGGAGTGAAATGTAGTTGGTTAATTTTTTTTTATGTATCCCTGCCCATCTGCCCAGGAAGACGGGGGCAGAAACACATTAGCAAATGTAATTTACTGAATTGTTTTCTTACTTAACGAACATCACATGTTCATGCTATCACTTTTTCTTTCCCTTGAACTAGTCTGTTTTTGTTAGACTGCAAAAGATTGTTAGCNTGTATTCGCTTAAAATTGGTCAAATTGTTTACCTCAAAAAATGGGAGTAACAATTAAATATGATTTATGGTTTTAAAGATATGTGATTTATTCTAATACTAGTAATATACAAGTAATATTAGGTCTAAGTAAGAAGAATTGATGAACCAAACCAATGTTGCTAGAGCAATAAGGACCTCGAGCTCGATTTTCTTGGGGGCCTCAAGGTGAGCTAAGAGCAATGAAATATGTACAGTAAAGTAAAAACAATAAAGCTGAAGAATACTTGTTGAGCACGGTAAACAAGAAAAGCAGAGTAAAATATTTTATTGCAGTGAATAATGTTTTTTTTTACAAAATGATTGGGGTCCCCTTTATATAGGAAGGGAAAACCCTAATATGGTACATTTCCAATTATGGAAAAGAATTCTATTGGTACAGCTGTATAACAACCTAGTACGGACTTGTACTATTTCGTACAGATCTTATCCTATAATTTATGCCCTGACCCACGTGTCATTGAGAAATTCCTGCTCTTTCTTGAGTGTCTTCGAGATTGTACTGTCCTCGATGTAGGTTGTGCCAGGCCTTCAATCTGCTTCCTCGAGGTTTGTGTCCTTCAGCCGGGTCCGACCCCTACTTTGTGTTGCCTGGACTTGGACTCATAGCCCAATTTAAGACTTCAAAATTGGGCTCCTTGATTTTGACCGTATATAGATAGTCCCCGTGTTTTTTAGAATAAGATGATAAGAAACAATTTGAACCTCGATTTTTCCTAGCCACTCGTGATGACGTCATGCTCATGACGTAGGCGCTTGAAGTGATCGAAAATGTCATGTCAGCATGCTTCCCCAAAACATCAAATACGTTACAGCTTTTGTCGGCCACTTGCGCTGCCGGTCCCGTCGTCGGCTTTCTATAAATATGGGGTTAGTTGGCTAAACAAAAACTACATTTATTCCTTCTTCATCTGCTTTTGGCCCTTTCCCTTCTTTATCTCTTCCTCTAATCATTTATTTCTATGGTTCAAATCTGTGACCACAAGGTCACATGACAGCAACTTTACCAGTTATGCCAAGACATCCTTTTTCAAAGCTTTGGCTCGAGACAATGAGATAAGAGCACCGAATCCTTCACGTATCAGGAGATATGCGAGCTTTACACTGCTGCTTATCTCTCTTAACTTCAACTTGGTGTGGCGCTTCATTTCTTTTGCTTTCCATGAAATGAGGTGGCACTATCATCTACTAACTTTTGCATCCTACACCGAAACATAGTTCCGAGGATGATCACTCTTGGATAATTGCTCGTGCATCTTGCAACCCCTTTTGTTTTTTTTTCTTTTGCTTGTTCTTTCTTAATGTATTATAGCCCAAAGTTTCAATGGAATGCTCAATCCCGGCTGCTGGAGATATAATTACGTTTATCGAGAGTCTTCTGTCAAACGTCTCCAAGGATCAGAAATGGTGCCTTTGAGAAGAGGATTTCTGGAGATGATACTCTCGAGGTCGTGGCCTTAAAAGTGAATTAGGATCTTTGGCTTTTGTTTTTTGCTTCTTTGTTCCTGTGTAAGTATCCTTCGTGGGTGTCGTAGTTATACTTTGTAATCAATTCTTGGAAGTATAAAAGGATTCTTTTGTATCCCTTTCGACCCATGCTGAATTTTATTCTATTTTTATTCATAAAAGACTCGATTTTATGATTTCAATGACTAGCCTAAATACCGAGCTTAGGACATAATAAATCCTTAGGTTCTTAGTCGATCAATATAATGCCCCTCGAGGTTCTCGTTAATCCTCGAGCTGAGCTTAAATGTGAACTCGGAGCATCGTGATCCCCAAGCCCGAGTTAGGTGAGAGCAAGATCTCGGAATGAAGTTAACCCTTAGGTCTTCTTTGCTATCCCCGAATGAGAAATTTCTCCAACCCGGGTAGCCCTTGGGCTTTGTAATCGAGCTAGCATTTGCTCGAACTTGTAATAAAGATAGCCGTTAGGCCTTTTCTCAGCTCTCAGGTGAGAAACTCTTCAAACCCTGATAGCCCTTGGGCTTAGTAATCGGGTGGTTATTCTGCTCGAACTCGACTTATAGGATGCCCTTGATGATTTTTGACGAATTAATCCTTAATGCCTTGATCCTGATGCCAATATCGTGACATCAACAGTAGAAGCGACTGAAAAGTTGCTTTTTGTGCGATTCCCAAAATATTAATTAGAGGCGGCTAACAGTCGGCCTTTTGGCTTCCCCAACACGCTTAATGACCTCTATAAATAGATAAGTTTCACAACCTCACAAACTTTATTCTCATATTGTTCTCAAAGTCTCATTAGCCTTTTTCAGTTCCCTTGAACTCTCCCTTCTCTTCATTTTCTTGAATCTTCCGTATTGCGATGGCTAAAACCTCTAAACTGGTTTCCCAAAAAGAAAAAAGCTTCTTCATCTTCTCGATCAACCAAGAGTAAACCGGTAGTGCCTCCTCATATCGAGGAGTGCATCCCCCCGCCATGTGAAATAACATCCGATTTCAAAATCGAGAAACCTGTTTCAACACCAGGCCGATGTGAGCCCATGTCTCGATATGTTTGTTTGGTGACCAAGGCCGAGCTCAAACAAGTAAAGGAAGATTGCAAATGGGTTAATAAAGAAATAGTGATTCCTTCCTCCGAGGAGGACATCACCACAAATAAAGCGAGGTACTTGAGTGTATATACCTACCCTTTTACGTTGGGTCCTGCAATTTCGGCTCAGGGTCCCATAGATCCAGTTATTCTTGACTTTTGCCAACGATATCGAGTGACGCTCGACCAGATCTACCCCTCATTCTGACGAATCGTTTACTTAATCAGGTTTTTTTAGGCAAATCGAGGGGCTGTCTTTTACCCTCGATCATCTGATTAGACTGTACATTTCCCGACTTTATCGTGGGGGTTTGATAAAATTGCAATGCCGATCCTTAAAATCTCTCTTCTCTAGTATCAATAAGGACAAAGAATGTGGGTGGATGAGCTGGTTTGTCCGAGTCAGGACCTTTGATCTGATTCCTGCTGATTGGATGCCATTCCCCGAGGAGTGGAACATGAAACGTGAGTACGCAACAGGTTTATACCCTGCTTTCTTTTCTTTTCCCCAACTTTATATTTTTCGTTGGTCTAACCCCTATACGATGGTGCAGCCGCTGCTTGGTTTTCTGGTGGGGTCCCGAATCTCGAGGGTTGGGTCCGAAAGTTGGCCTCCGCCTCCTCTTACTTGGAGCGTTGCTGGCGAGATCTGGCCAAGGGTTAATGAGAGGCCAAAAACCATGGTGAGTTCTCTTGTGCTTCTGTTACAGGATACTTACCTCGGTTTCATGTAGGTCTTGGAGACGCCATTGATTTGCGGCCGGCCCTAGCTGATGAAGTGGAGGTTCCGAAGCCTTCTAAAGAAATAAAAAGAAGAAGAGAGTCATTTGAAAATCCCCCGAAGTCGAAGAAGAGCGTGGCTCGAAGTCCTAAGGCCGATACAACGACCTTATCCCTGTAAATGGCCCAACGCCTTCAGGAATAGGAGGAAGAAGAAGATGACGACTACCTGCTGGTAACCCGTGAAAGGAAAAATGCTGATATTTTGAAACCCATCGAGCGGGTGGCGATTGATGTGGCTCATTCTAGAGCCAAAGAAATCTTTGAAAGGAGTTTAAACAAAGTCCCCGAACCATCATCTAGAAAGAAGGTGCCTCGCCTAGGAGATCATTTGGAGGGCGAGGCCGAACGACCTGATCCCGAACCTCTTCAAAAAAAAGAGAATGCCCCAAGTGGATCACTTGGTGTAATCAACGTGGATGATTCACCTACTGGCCCTGAGTTCTCTGAGGGACAAATCCAGGATGCTCAAAATATGAGGTCTTCTGAAGTGGAAGCAAGCCATGAAGGGCATGAGATCTTTCGAGAATGCTTGCAGGGCTTGAAGATGGCCCCGACCCTGATGCTTCTTTCGTTTTTGATGAGGCTCGTAGACTCTTTAAACAAGTGAGTATTCCGTTTTTATGCTTGCGCCTTTGTTTACTTGTTTTGAATCTATCTTTCCTCCCTTTTCGTGAAGGCTAAGATGCTTCATAAAAAGGGCATTTTCCAAGTTCTGAGCTGACCTTGCTCAATGCGAGGCTAAACTTAAGAAAACTTTGGAGGAGAGGGACGTCGTCAAAGCCCTCTATACTAAGAAAGAGATAGAGATCTATGATCTACTAGCTGAGTTGACGTAGATATTCCAAGGTCGAGAAGAGTATGTTGAGAAAGTAATACAGTTCTTGAAGGTCTGTTATGTACCTGTTTGCTTTGGCGACTGACACTTTTAATTTCACAGTTTCATCAGAAGGCCGATTTGGAGGTGCAGCTTCGGGAGGAGCTTAAGATGAAAGAAGACGAGACCTTAAGGTGGAGGCAAGGTATGGACAATCTCGCCTCTGAGAAGGAAACCTTAAGAGAGCAGTTAGCTTCTCTCGAATGCCAACTTCAAGGTGTGAAGGAGGAGAGCGGGGCCTTGAAATCGAGGAGCTTAAAACCAGATCTGCTACTGAGCTGGCCAAGGCCAAATCTGATGTTGCGACAATTATGACTTCGTATCGATCCGATGCCGAAGCAGCTAATGCTCGAACAAAAAAGATCTTTTCTGCGGCGGAGGCTAACTTATCAAGTACCCTTGATCATGCTAGGCGACAATACCGGAGGATGACCCTCGAGGAGGTACATGCTCGCGGCTTCGATCTTTCAGCCGATATTGAAGCGGCGAAGATTTTGGAAGAAGAGGTTGCCGCTCTACTTTCCAATGAAGATGATTCAGCCAATGGCTCTTAGAGTGGAGGATAAGGGGATGAAGTCCCCGAGGATGAGGCTCTCGAAGAAGCGACTCCTGAAGATGCGGCTGCTAAGGATGTGACCCCGAAGTAGTTTTAGGTTACTTCATTTTGTTTCTTTGCAAGTCTCCTTTGTGTATAGACCTCATGT